ATAATTCACGTGACAAAAGCAGATCAAAATCACAATGTTAAATCGGACATTTTTCGTGACTCAAATGACTTTAAGAGTATATTCTTGGGTTTATTTGTACGTATTTCCTGTTGAAAATTTTTTTTTTTTTTAATTACACAATCATTAACGAGTAGAATTAATTAAATTTTTTTATTTGAATATGTAACTCTCGTATGAGTACAAGCCATAATAGATTGTTTAATCTTTCAATTAACATTAATTATTTCTCTAGTTATTCCAATAGCAATGCTAATATGAAAATATAAACATAATTAAATTATTTATTTTACTAATTATCAAATCATCCGTATGTATGCTTAATGGAATAGAAAGGAAGGAGGAAGTAGGAAATGGGGGGGGGGGGAGAAAAAAAAACACTGGATAATAACAATAATAATCAAGTTGGAAAGCAGAAATAGGAAGAAAAAAAAAGAATTCACCGCGTTGATTCAAATAAGCCGTTCGAGCCACGAAAATCCAACGACTGCACGGAACCTCGAACTTTTTCGACCAAAGTCTGCGAGTACGCATGACTAGTCGTCTGGCGCATAAAATCGCTCGCGGAAAAATCTGTCAGAACATCAATTAATCTCCACGTAAGCTTCATTCGCATTATTTCCACATCGTCAACAGCGATAAAGGCGAGGACCTAAGCGTCCGTGTGTTTAAAGTAGCAAGCACTGCCTCTCCCCTACCCTGCTTGGCATCTCCGGCGAGTCCACATAGCCACGGACAATTATAGGAAACCGAGAGCACCAATAGGAGCTCGTGCTACAGCAGCATCCGCGGGGTTAACTAATTCGATAAAAATTGCCCGGCAATTATTACAAATGCGCCATGCACACTCCAATATAAATGCGGGATTTAGCGTGGAAAGTTATTAGTGATTTTGCAACAATAAGGCCGCGTTGTTGTACAACGACGTTTGCGACGGCAAGAGATTTTTTTTTTTTTTTTTTTTTTTTTTTTTTTTTTTTCATATTATCCTCTTTATCCTTGCCGATTGGAGATTTCATTTCAATTTGCCAGGCGTTTTGTAATTATGTGATTTAACGGAAGTTTCGAGGACCTTTGTTTTTTTTTACAATTCACGGCTATGAAGAATAGGAGAACATTATTTTCGTTAATCATTTGAAGTTTATGATTCGAGAGCCAAGTAGAATAACTCCTCCCTCGTAGTTTTCAATCAACAGGTGGTTTGGAGAACGGCAACGTGCTTCACTAAACGGTAAGTTTTATTTTCATAAATTAAAGCAAAATCTGAATTCTCGTCAGAGGCATTTGGTTCGCTTGAAAAGCCCTACCGTTAATAGATAAACGATTTGTTATTTGGCGAGTTGTTCGCAACTATTTGGCACTTTTAAACAAAAATTCATAAACCATTCAAAATTAAATCAACGCTAATGTAATGATATATTCATTAGGATTATAATTCTTATAATGAGAAGATATAATGTGCGTATATTAGAGCGATATCGTCTTGATAAAAAAATTTTGACAACCGACTCGCCTCATTTCAATCGAATATCAAATTTCAATATTCTATAATCATTATGGAATAAAAGCTGACGAATACACATCATCCGCCATTACTATCATTGATATAATATTTACAATCGTTAGAATATAAATTAGCGTAACAAGCGCATAAACAATAATAAATGGAATACATTCGATTTACGTCACAATAACAACTACTCTAGCCTCCTCCTCCTCCTCCTATTTGCAACCAATAAAAAATAATCAAAAAGACATTCGACTTTATTATTCATCTTAGAAATATATGTTGAGGTACTTTCGCGTTAGGGGGAATTCAGACCAGTAACAGACACATTAGAAATCAACGAGTCTTTCAACATAGATAATTTGCTTTGTCTTTGAATTTGTCTTCTCTTGAGTTTTTAAATCGTTCGTCTCGAGTATTTAAATACTTGTTGAAGGTAACATCACAAGAAACTAGTAAGATAATTTCGATAATTTTCTTGCATTTACAAGTAAACATATCGCGTTGTAATATACGAACTTAGTAAAAAAGGTTGATAATTCAATTTCAAGTTTAGATATAATTTACTATACAAACAATACGTATTTTAAATGTATATTATTTTTAACCTTGACGTTCCCAATTTGACGAGTTATTTGACATAATTCATTTAAAAGCTTCATAATTCGTCATTATTTTATATACTAACAGACGAATTTTCAAAAATTTTTCATTTTATATAAGCAGTTTGTTCGATGTATTTCATTAAGATTTTCTTATTGATTCTCTAAGGATTTCAAATTTTACGAAATGTAATAAATTACTACGCCATCGAGCAAAATTATGAAAAGGCAGGAAAACTGTTTTATCAATGCGATTGTCTATTTATTTACCATTAGTATATTTAGTTCTTTTTAAATATTAGATATTACAAGGCTTCATACAGTAAATAAAATTATTTTAAGCTATTTAAGAAATGTAATCTCCCTCTTATCTTCCATAAGTACGATAAGATTAAAAGAAAAGAATAATATTATTTTATGATTGTAAATGTTATACTTAATTTAAAATACATAATTATTATTGCTTTTCGCCTATATATTGAGTAATAATACTATCAATGTACTATGATTATACTAGGAAATTATTTCTATGAACTATTTACTATAAAGTCTTTTAATGTCGCATAAAATAAAATTATTTACAATTAATAATGAATTATAGATATATTCAATTGATTGAAAATTAAATTGCTTATTTAATAACTTTCCAATAATTCGACTGCATTAATATCAACATAAAAATTATACATGAATATAACATGAATTAAATACAAATTTCTTTTACTTTTACTTTAATCTTCGATTATATAATTTTCATACGGAACTAACGATCATTTAATATTATTACATTGTCAATATATATGTATAATGTACATCCACGTCCCATCAAGCACTTTCAATGGAAATAATATACTTTTTAATTACGTAAAACATGAAAAATTAAAAAATGTATCGAGTATTTGGCATACACGAGCGGTCCACTAAATTTTTCTTCAAATAAAAGAAATTGCATTATCTTACGTAGACGATGTATGAAGATATTCAAATATAATTTTATTAACATGTATTTTTCAACTGGAGCTCAAATGCAAAATTATAAAGTATAATATTGCCCGAAGATCACGATTAATTATTATATATTTTGTGTTATGTATTTGCTTTTTTTTTCTTCCATTTTTCGATCGGCTATTTTTATTAAAATGTCTATTCACAAATATTACAATATAAAAACGAATAACAAATGCGATTGATATATGATTAACTGTGGTGTGTGAATTTTTTTTTTTTAAATTTATAAATCTTATTTCTTGAATAGTTGAAAATTATGTTGAGGAAATAATAAGGTAACTTATTTTGTAACAAATAGCTTTTAAAATTATATGCATTCTTAAAAACATTAATTTTAATAGTTTTTATTAAGAGTATATTAATTTTAGATGCGTTTCCTATAATTTTCACACATAACAAATAAAATGCGCTATTATATATATATATATATATATAAAAGAATAAATAAATAAATAAATAAATAAATAAATAAAAACGAAATCACATTAATATTAGGACTATATTTGTATCGATATGCTCTACAAATATGCTTTTGATAGATTTGATAATCGGAAATTTGAGAATTTGAGAACGAAACGAGCTGCGAAATTGAAAATGCGTGAAACGAGCCGATGGACCGTTTGGATTCCCATCCAAATTTAATCAAAGTCGGCAAATGCACTAATGGCACCTCGTCGATATTAGCAGGTAACGCGTAAACGAGAATAAGGTGCAAGAGATCGGCGGAGGTACACCTTTGCGCGCTTCCCCTGCCCGACGACGCATTAACGAGAGTGCGAGAGAGTAGCCGCATATCTTTTCGAAACCGAAACGAGCGGTTTGCCGGTATAAAGTGGCGTTGCCAGTGGAAAGGTGATAGTCGCGCTTGCAAGAGTCTCCCGTCCGGGTCGCCATCGCCGTGTTTTCCTTTCACGTGCGTTTTCGTTTACGTGAGTGTCAGTGCGCGCACCCGCGCTTGCGCGCTCCAATGCTTTCAAGGATCGCCTAGAGCAGGATTAAAGCCGGGATTCATAGAAACTCGGTTAAAAACTTTATTATTGTGATTTTTTTTTTTTTTTTTTTTTTTTTTTTTTTTGTTGAAAGATAAATCTATCGATCGAAATAGATAATTTGATTGATAGAGATTGATAAATAAATATATATATATTTATATATACTTAGAGAGAGAGAGCGAAAGAGAGTGAGTGAAAAGTATAACGGATACAACAAAATTAGCAAGTTTATTTTTGTTATTTCAACTGTTTATTAAATAATTCTTTGCTTGTAATTTTTATTCTTGAGCCGCCGGCTGTAATATAATTGAAACTCTCATTATAATATTTTATATGACATTAACTTTGTGCTCTCATTTCACCTCGTAACAATATTTTAAAGATGAAAATCAATTTTTGGAAATTGTTATTGAGATATCATATATTTTATATAAATTCATCAAATTGAACTTGGAGGAATTTTTTTTTTTTTTTTTTTTTAGAATTGTCGCGGTTAACATATCACCGTCCAATAAAGTAAATATTTTTACATAAACTTAGAATTTATAACTAAACTTGTGAAGTACCGTGACTTTTCCAAAGAAGCAACTCGTCTTTATTTACTTATTATCATTATTTTTCAAAATAATTTATTTCACAATAAAATTTATACAAGTGTATATAAGAATATTAGAAAAAGTTTCACTTGGATCATCATTTGGAACGTAAAATCTTTATTTTCGAGCACGAACAAGTAATTTAACAAAAATAAAGCAAGACTTCGACGCTATGCCAAATATTTGAAGGAGATCATGGTATTTTGAATATGAATTTTACCAAATTTTAACATCGTTTCATCGTGTTTCATCGTTCAACTTACACAAAAAAAAAATAAAAAAGGAAACAAAAAAACAAACCAAAATGAAGAGGAAATTATCGTCGCTATTCAGGTGCATTTTAATTGTATTTTAATTAATTTACCATTTAATGTTAAGTGTTTTTTTTTTCATTTTTTTTTTTTTTTTAATAATCATAATAAATATTTATAAGAATTTGCAGTGTAACGTAGATTTAAAAATAATTATATAGGTACTATAATTGATATATATATATATATATATATATATATATATGTAGTCATGATAAATTTCAACAAATAATCTATAAAAAAGTATATTATAAAAGATAAATTCTTGTTATTGTTTTACATTAAAATTTTATCAAACAACAGCTGATAATATTATATTTAGTAAAATCATTTTCTATTATGTTCCATGCATGGAGAAATAAACTTATTAAAATATAATTAATGGTAAAACATTATATTTATATTAAAGAATAATAAGCTTACGTTTTCTCGATATCGATTCCAAAATAAATTGATGCGTATGTAATGTGTGTACAATTTCAAAATAGATTGATTTATGTAGACTGATATTTGTGGTCCTACATCTTCTCAGCTTATATTAAGATTGGCTTAAAAACATCGTATTCAGAATTAAAAATCTTTGCAAATTCAGAAATGAATATTCAGAAGAAAAAAAAAGAAAAAAAAAAGGAAAAAAATATCAATAAACCTTTATTGTATTAATGTTGATACGCGTAACTGAACTGAAATTAATGAAAAACTTGGGATTGTCGAATTTTTTAAAAAATAACTTCGTTGCTAAATACATAAATAAATAGGCATGAATTTCTCAAGTAATATTAACTTATATCAAATAAGTTTGATCTATAAGTGTAAAGTAAAACTTTTTCAGCGAGCCATCGAATAAAACAAAAAAAAAAAACAAAAAACAAAAAACAAAAAAGCAAAAAACAAAAAACAAAAAAAAAAAAAGAAGAAGGAAAAGGAAAAAAATTAAAAAATATCCAACAACATTGGGAGAACAATAGGGAGTAATAAAGAGCAAAACTTTATTAAAAATAACTTATAATCCACCGATTGTTTACAATATCCAGCGTCTCGGTAGCGTCTTAGCTCATCGTCGGATTTATCCCCTTCGATGAATCCTGATCCCTTTGGTTGGATTGCAGAAGGTGATGAAAATAAACGAGTAGCACGCGATCTACGACTGATATACCTTTAAGCTCGGGTGCCCCTTTTCCTCAATTAATCCCATATCTATTTTCAGAGCCGAACTCTAACCCTTGATCGAAATCGCGATAATCTCCTACAAAAGTTCTCGAGTAGTCTCGTTGTTCCGCAGCTCGAAACCTCTAGAATCGTATTTCCGGCCAATCTTGCCGAAAACCTGTCAACCACTGAAATGCCAATGGATAACTAACTCCTCTTTCTCTATCTCTATTTCCACTTTTCCTTTCATTTACAATATAATTCCTCATTTAACATTTAGCCGACGAATAGAAAAGCTTGAGTCAATAATTTCTCTACTTGACTCTTTTCTAATACTATACTTACTACACATTCGAGTGGACCACAACATTTTGTATTTTAAGTATTTTTTCATAATTTTCTATTTTTCTTCTTCTTCTTCTTCTTCTTCTTCTTCTTCTTCTTCTTCTTCTTTTATCTTTTCGTTTGTTTTTATTTTTTAATCATTAAATACGTAATATCCGAAGCTATCGATTAATAATCACAACATTTTAACGATCTTGTTGGAAATACTAGCGATAATGGCTTTGTGTTTAATTAGTTGATAACCTCCATATTACAAAATGCTGAAAAATAATTTACCAACGTGAAATTTTAAACTTACGCTGCGTAAATTATGCTTAAACATTGTAGTATAAATTTAAACTAATTTTAAAATATAAAGTGGCATATATCTTGCAAATAATTCAATAAAAAGAGATATTACAAGACTAGAGAAGTTAATTTAACGTATAGGTTAAATTAAAGTTTTTTTTTGTCTTATTTAAAAAATTTCCCAACGAAATTTCAGTATTATTAATATTGAAATAATTAACGAATGAAAAATATTTTACAAAGATATTTAACTCTAATTGATAATAATATTGTTGTCTGCTTACATATATCCAATGAGAATTTAAACAATGTTTGAAGCACCATATATATATATATATATATATAAACAAAATAAGTTTAACAAAATACTTATTATAAACATTTTACCAAACTAATGAATAAAATAATATAATTGATCTTTTATTTAGTCTGGAATTAAAATTCAATTTATATTAAATATCATTTTCTTATTTTAAGTCAATAAGAAAAATTGAACTTGTTCGTACAATCTCAATTTTTTTAAATTAATTTCTCTTCATTTTTAATTTACTATTAATGTTAAAAATGTAATTCAAAATTAAATATCATATTCAAGCAAAATACCATTTAGTTTGATAGAATTTAAGCTTTCAAATAAGTTTTTGCTCTGTCTCTACTCCATATACTTCAATACAACATCACAATTAACTTTCATTAATAGTCGCAAAGTATTTAAAAAATTCTTAACATACTAAAAGATCAGATCATAAATTCATAAACAATTTTTATAATTTTATTTTAATTAGGATATATAATGAATTCTTACATTGTCGTATTATTTTCAATTATATAACTTCTCGATTGACTCACACTCATATAACTAGCTTATACAGGTAAAAAAAGAAGAAGAAAAAGAATTATTATAAAAAATTAAATACCTAGAAATTCAGATTCATCATTGACGCAAAATATTTATTTTTCTTGATTAACCGAGAACTAGGAATAATTTACATTCTTATTATAACAGATTCAAATTAAAGGACATAATTACGGAATTTTATATTTTAAGTGCCTGAAACGGAGTTTGACGTTATGGAAATGCGATAGAATTATTTGCTTTGATAGAATATAGCTGTTTCATTGCCAAATATAATAAATCAAAAAAATATTTGAATTCAATAAGAATATTTGCAATCTTTCAGTCAGTAATAGATTTGACAACTCCACATGACCTTATTGCACAAGAGTATCACATTGGCTGGTTAATATTATTAAACACAATCTGAATATTGCAATGCTTTAAAAAAAAATTAAAAAAAAAAAATTAAAAAAAATTAACAAATACATAAACACTCGCATATGTGTAATTAATCAAAATTTACATGGCAGTCCAAATATAAAGGGGAATGCGTAACAACTTCATATCATATCAATTGAAAATTGTCAAATCAAACATGCTGCTTTGATATTGTTAATAAAAGTATATTAATTATATTAAATAGTTGCTTGCATTATTCAATATTATTACTCACTAATAACTGATTTTTTTTTTTAATTTTTTGTTTTCATAAAACATAATAATGGTTTACACGCGGTAATTTGTAAGTAAGCGAAAGAAAAAAAAAATTAATAAAAACATAAAGGCTTTTTTTTGTCTTCAAATCGCATGATGATTTTAATCAAGGGGCTATCAATCATTCGACGCACCGTGAAGCGAGTGAACGTAAAATTATTTATGACCGTCATATTCAGCTTCAAACATTACAGGCGATATCTTTGACTGTATTAATTTGTCAACATCCTTATTAAAACATCGTAAGCACCGAGCGAATCCAGTGTAAGAATAACTTTGCTTAACCTATCCCGAGCGCAGCGACTTAAAACCGAGCTTAAAACTGGAGTCTGAATCACTTGTTGAAGAAGAGCAAATGGTATTCCTCGAATAAAGCGGAGAAAGGCCAGGGGATGTTGCCTTAATAGTCGCCCGAAACTGCAGTCCCGAGAATAAGGAGTCCCGAGCCGATTAATCACGGCTCCCGCGTCAGCTCCGCTTTTTATATCGGCGGTCATCCTCCACGATTATCGGTGGCGCATCCTAAAAGCTCCGGGCGCCCGACAAAAAAGCCACCCTAGAAGAAGCCTTGGCCTCGTGGTAAAGGCTCCCCACCCCAAACCCCATCGCCCCGGAGTCGCCTAAAGCGGCGAGCTATAGGGAGGGGCACACCAAGGTCGAGACGAAAAAAAGACGCGCATGCCTTGTTGCGGGTTGCGCGCGTCTCGCGGCGGGCCGCCCACGGTAAGGAGGGGGGGGGAGGGGGAGGGGGTTATGGAGGAGCAGCGCGAGCCTTCGCCGAGTAGACGACGAGCAGCCGAACCGCGTCCGTAACAACCGGAGAATCGCGCGCGATGACTCGCAGACGGGACGAACATCGGCTCGACTCGCTCGCGCGCTCCCCTCGCGATCATCGCTACCTAAACTACGAGCGTCGCTCTTAATTTTTTTCGCACCTCCCGCATCCTCGCACATGATCGGCCAACTTGGGGAGCTCCGGTTACTCCGTGGACTCCAAGCTAAGGGCCAACCTGGCTTCTGGCTCATGCTTCCCGCCGACCAAGGACATGATGGGGCTGCGCTCTTCCAACTGTGAATATTAATGTGCGCGCGCGCGCGACACCCCGTCACGTATTATCTTAACGTCCGTTGAATGGAACATTGTTTATTATCAGTGGACATTACCGGTCCTCGTTTTAAACATGACAGTGATCGCCTGAGAGCTAGTGATTAGCCACGGCATCGTTATTCATAAAAGGTAATACGAGCGGTGATGGCGAGTTTTGTCTCATCTAGAAGGAAATGTCACTTTCCAGTCACATTCTAGTTACGCGTACATACTTATTGCCCATTTTCGCCCGTTTGAAAATGGCGTAGCGATAATCGGCTAATTTACGTTTCGTTCTTTATAAACCGAACAATCCTTGCTAGTAGATTTTTATGTTTAAAGTGACGTTTCGTTCAATGGAAGTTTGGACAAGAAAGCTGAAACAATGAACAAGACGAGTAACAAAAAAAAAATTTTGTTTAAATAAATATTTAAAAAGCCAATTTCCCATCGCTTAAATCCAAGCTGCGTTCCGAATAAACCGAAGCGTAATAAGACAAACGATGCATGCACAATTGGGACGAAAATTAATTTCTATATCGATAATCGCTCGCGCATTATATGCAAAAATATCTATCCCAATAAACTCTATTTAAAGCCT